GTGGTAAGTTCAGTTACTAACATTATGCAACCTACAAACTGGATGAGAACAAGTGGAGCAAGTGGACTTTTGTAACGGTTCTAGGATTTGCAACATAAAGAAAACCCAGCGAAGAGAGGGTGCAGCATTTAAACACCTAAAATGCTTTATCGTCTCTCGAGCAAGTGATGCACCAGTTGAGGAACATCACATCGCTTGTATAGTTTTTCATGTTTACCCAAGTGGGTGCAAGCACGTTTTTATATGTAAGTGTATTGGTATACTCAAAATCCCTGAGATCGGGTAGGCGTGGCTGCGTACTTAATTTTAAAATGGCGGCGGCCCAGGTTTTCGTGAGATATTGTCATTTTGGAGCAGTCGTAATCATGTCTACATCTAACACAGAACAAGATAGCAGTTGTTTCAAATTGAAGTATCCCACGAGTAACCCGTCCTATGCCATGCTCAAAAGCCACGCCTACTCGTTCTCAGGGATAAGCAGTGTACCTATAGAGAGCGAGAGCGCTTTCGTCAACTCTCAGAGCGTGAATAGTCCCTAAATTGCTTTACCCAGTCCGGAACACCGTTACTCGTTCATCTTCTCATCATTCCATCCCTTTCTAAACTGACCAGTAGTAGCAAATCTCAGTTTGATTTTCAAGCTTTTTTCGAACTTTGTACATTAAGGATTGTCTAGGAAACCGACCAAAACGATGCGTCTCCTTGTGCCCGCGTGCTGTCCGTGTAGCGGTGTTCCACAACAAGCTGAAGGCATTTTCAACAGAACGGAAGCGACCGAAAGGCACCGCACAGAGTAATTTTATTCTTCTCGATTTCTAGTAATTACACACTAGTAAACACAACATAATCTCGAGATAGGAGCGCGTGATTGCATTGATTTTCAAGACGTTGCGGAGGGATATTGCCGCTTAGAGACACTTATGATGCTGTTTTTTTCCTCAGTACAAGAAAGAACAGCAAGAAATTTCCACGGAAACGCATCCTTAGCCACCACCAAATGAGATGAGGTCATCCACGCCGTCCCCCTCTCCGTTACGTTAAGTGTATAGGAAGAGTTAGACTAGCCTCAGTTTCAGTGGTTCGCTATTTGATTAGAACCGAACGTTTTCATAAGGAAAGACGTTGCAATAGCCCGATACACTTTTCTGAGACTTCGCGACTCTGACTTTTGGAATGACAACACATTTTTAGCGTTCTCTGCAATTGCCCCCCCCGCGCGGTTGCCGAATGATGGCCGTCTCTGCTTTCGATAAATTCCTACACGAGAACGTTTGCCAAACACACGTGGAAGTTCAGGAGAAACCAGGGGCACCAAGTTAGCGCAGTGTTCTTGCGATCTTCCGCAACGTATCTCTCTCATTCCAAAAGAAAAGACCTGAATATTCTTTCGTGCTCCGACAAAGTGAAGCAATTTATTTCAGAAGCTCTCTAATATAATTGACCTCATTTCGGACAACGAATGAAGCAAGCATCAGCAAGTTCAGGCGTCCAAGTCCCGTTTTGACAGTACGACGATGTGGGTCCTTCGGGAACCATACCCGAAAACAGGTTAGCGTAGCCATCGATCCATCATCTTTTTGGAGCTGAAATGTCTTCCTGATTACACGGAATTGCTGAAGAAGAAGGGTGGCTAACTTCAAGATTTAGTCTGGAAAGCATGAAACCATTCAAATGGTCAGATTCTGAACTGAAAAAGTGGCCAGATGAAAAGAAACGCTTATTTAGTGTTGTCCCACCTTAAACAAGCCATTATCACTGTAGTTAACGATTGCGTTGAGAACAAATTTTGGCGAGCATTTTCCTGAAAGTGAACTATGGAACAACCTCCCTACACTAGTAGATGTTTGTAAGACCTGTTACTATTGAATTCCTGAATCTCAAAAATATCGACTCTATCAATATACTAAGGTCAAGGAATCAAGTGGTAGTTGAGAGTTTCCATCAAATCTTCCAGTTCAAGCAGTCGGTCGTCGTGACAGAATTTCCAACAGCTTCAGAAATCTTACCTAGCAGGCAGTGGAGGGAGGTTGCCATTGGAGTAACATTGTTCCGAGACTGGCGGGAGTCCAGATTCCGTTGGTGCACGAAGCAGCTCTCGGTCCTGTAATGAAAGTGTTTAGGTAGAAGAGCTACGGTCAAGCAAATGATACCAATAAGAGCCCATCAAGTCGGATTACGATTGCATAAAGTGAAATTCAATAGCAACTTGTATGTGGTTTGACCCTCCACTCCCTAGCAGTTGATACTCCGAGGCTGTTTTTGCCTGCGAGTTCATCTCCTGGGGGTGCAAAGGCGTAGAGTGGACTGCCATCTTCTGGATGTATTCATTTTTTTGGGTGAGCGTTTTTTCCACAGCTAGGCCCCGTCCAAGGAAATGAGTTCAATACTCGAAAATAAGTACTTCGAAACTTGGAAGTTTGTTCTCAATTTGTCCAAAGAATTGTCCGCCATCAGCCAGTTCGTGACTATGGCCGCTACTGGTGATGACATTCTTTTTTTTTCTTGGAGATGACGCCATCTGCCGCCAGGATGGTGCTGGTGCCAACATGGCCATGACGTCTTTCACCAGAGACGTCAAAACTACACTGTGTAGTAGCACAGGGTCTCATCTCGAATATGACGTTCATTCATTTTCGGTGCTAACTGGGAGCTCCACCTGTCCATTGGAACTGTAACAAAACTCGCAGCACTGGGTCAATTGGGATCCTGATCACTGATTACGAATTCCAATTTCTTGGTGCAGGTGTCATTTCAACCCATTCCGCGCCAAACCGCCTCAACGCAACCGAATTACACCAAAGGCAATTAAACTTGGCATATTTGGAGTGCATTCGTTATTACTCTTCCTCTTATGCCCAGCCTAATCAGAGTGTTGAAATACGATGCCTCTGAAAATGAATGTCATATTCGTGATTTAGATCCAATTGAGCCCACGTTTGTAACGAATTTTCAAGGAAAGTTGTGGGGCCACGTTGACACCGATTCCATCCTGGCGCCAAAGGCGCGCCGGCGCCAAGGAGGATTTCGTAGAGACATCAGATGACCCTATGGTGCACGTTTTTATCGATGTCCATGAGGCAGCGCCTAAAAGCAAATGTAATGTTCATGTTTAAGTTATGACCTACCCCCACAGACAACTTTTAACCGAAGATAAGCACGTAAACCTTCGAAAAGGGGTTACAAGAGACAGTATCCACCGCTGGCGGCGGACGCTATTTCAGAAGGCCTGCACATGGCTGTGCGGTAATGTACAAGCAGCTCTCGAAAAAAACAACTGCTTCCCAGGAATGGTTAGATTACTCAAATTTCAAGATGGGGAATTCACAACTGCCTGCACAGCCTTAGGGTAACCTGCTCAGGTATGGAAACGTATAATGTACCCGTAGAATAGGCATGTTTCTGTTCTTACGACCCTGGTGAAAGTCAAGCTTTCAGAGCATCTGTTCAATGGTATTCACTTCTCCAAAGGCGCCTGCACATGCACAGATGAATCAGTGTTTTACCTTCGGGATAGCCGGTTGTGCAGTTCATTATGGCCAAGGTCCCTGATGCAAACAACTGGGCACTGCTGCTATTCGAATAAGTGAGTGAAGCGCCAGCAGGAGCCGCTAAAGCAGAGCATGGCTGCACGGGCGGCACTAAAAAATATAGTATAAGTATATCAGCGAAATCTGGATTATTTAGATGTCACTCACATAATCTGGTGCAAGTTTTCAGTAGGCAAATTCCCAGAGTTGGTGTCCACATGCCATTCGAGCATTTGGCTTGAGAGGGGCCGTTCAGCTCAAAACCTCGGTTACATTCAACTGTGACTGTTGCACCATCAGGCTTGTTCCACTTAAAAGTGTACATTAGCAATCAGCAAGTGAAGCTCGTATGAGTTTTAGATGATCACAGCGACCAGCAGAAAGGAAAGCGATTGAGAGCAGGAATACGCGGCATGGTCTGATATGGTGGATAAGGACTAACAGCAGGTGGAAGTGCAATGTGAATTCTGATGATGCGCAGCAAGCGCGAGGTGTCTTTCTACACCCACCCCTCCCCCGACAACGCCCTGTATTTCCCCATGCTGTTGGATGAGAACTTCGCAGAATGCGATCCCTCTCAGGGGTCCCCCTGAGAGGGATCGCATTCTGCGCGTGACGCACGTGAAACGGGAAAACATAAATAAAAAGTCAGCAACCGGAAGTGCCCTGATTATCACAGTTCTTACCAGCCAGTGCGATTCGTTTCACGGGAACATATCCAGCAGGTAATCTTCCGAACGACTAAATCCTTACCAGTCTCAAAAGCAGTACAGCTTCTTTCTTAGTCCAAAAATACTAGCACAATCTGTGAGCCCTCATCGTATTATCACTCTCAGCAAGC